AAATGTAAGGGGGTCTGAATACTTTCCGTACCCACTGTATGTGCAATATTTTGCACAAACTGAGTTTAATGCCACAGTTATGTTAGAACGCATCTCATTCTTGTTTCTAACCACTAGTAGATGACGGACGGCAAATGACTGTTTTAATGAGCGAGTTATTATTCAAATTTTATTCAAATGGCTGATTCATTCAAAAAGGAGGCAAATGACTACTCCCTCTATGAATGGGTTACTGAATCATTGACTCACTTGATTCGTTCAAAAACGTGGATTCATTCAGTATCGAAACACCGCTGTGTTGCTCGGAAACACAAAAAAGTTCTGCTGTGGCTTTGATTGAAACTTCGTCAGCGAACTTGACCAAAAACAGTCAATAATATATTAACAAATTGCGAACTTCGTGTCTGTTTAACTCACAATGAAGAACTTCCACGCTGACGACATGTTTACATGCGGATGTGAGCGTAAGTGTGCCATCAAAACGGACCGGCTGTGAGATGAGGTGTGTTGGATTTGAAGCAGCGCGCAGACCAATCAGACATCAAAGTACCGCGAGAGACTTTAACACAAAGCGAGAGCTACATTAACACAAAACTTTAATGTTAGGTGGGATTAATCGTGATTGATTTCTGAAAAAGTGTGATTAATTAGTAAAAAATTTTAATAGATTGACAGCACTAATAGTCGTGGTCAGAATTATTGGCACCCTTGGTAAATATGATCAAAGAAGGCTGTGAAAATAAATCTGCATTGTTAATCATTTTGATCTTTAATTATATAAATTCATATAAATCTAACCTTTCATTGGAGAATAAGAATTTAAAATGGGGGGAAATATTATGACAAATGTTTTTCTCTAATACACATTGGACACAATTAACGGCACCCTTTTATTCAATGCTTTTTTGAAACCTCCGTTTGGCATAATAACAGCTCTGAGTTTTCTCCTATAATGCCTGATGAGGTTAGAGAGCACCTGACAAGAGATCAGAGACAATTCCTTCATCCAGAATCTCTCCAGACCCTTCAGATTCCCAGTTCCATGATGGTGCTTCTCCTCTTCAGTTCATTTTCTATAGGGTTCAGGTCAGAGGACTGGAATGGCCATAGCAGAAGCTTGGTTTTGTGCCAAGTGACCCCATTTTTGTGTTGTTTTTAAGGTTTGTTTTTGGATTATTGTCCGTTTGGAAGATCCAAACATGGCCCATTATAAGATTTCTAACAGAGTCAGTCACTTTTTGATGTTTTATCTGTTGATATTTGATAGAATCAAAGATGCCATGTGTCTAAACAAGATGTCCAGGACCTCCAGCAGAAATATAGGCCCACAACATAAAAAATACAGCAGGACATTTAATTGTACACATGGGGTACTTTTTATCCCTGTGTGCACCAAACCCATCTTGTGTTTGTTGCTAAAAATAAATTTTTTTTAGTTACAACTGACCATAGAATCCAGTCCCATTTGAAGTTCCAGTCGTGTCGGACAACAGAATATGCTGGGGATTGTTTTTGGATAAGAGCATTTTCTTTTCTTGATTTTTTTCTTGAAACCCTCCCAAACAACATGTGGTGTAGGTGCTGTTCGATTTTTTTTTTTTTAAGGTTTTCTGACCCTGAGACTCAACTATTTTCTGCAATTCTCCAGCTGTGGTCCTTGGAGGGTCTTTAGCCACTCAAACTCTCCCCCTCACCGTGCATTAGGACGATATAGACACACGTTCTCTTCCAGGCAGTTTCGTAACATTTTCTGTTGATTGGAAATTCTTAATTATTGCCCTGATGGTGGAAATGGGAATTTTCACTGCTCAAGCTCTCTTCTTAAAGTCACTTTCTAATTTGTGAAGCTCAATTATCTTTTGCTGCACATCAGAAATATATTCTTTAGTTTTTCTCATTGTGATGGATGATTAAGGGAATTTGGCCATTGTTTTCCCTCCTATTTATATTCCTGTGAAACAGAAAGCCATGGCTGGATAATTTCATGTTCATAATGGTATGCTCAAAATTGTAAATATGAATGGGAATATACTTCACAGATATTTTAATCATCAAAATTTCTAGGGGTACCAATAATTGTGTCCAATGTGTATTTGAGGAAAATATTTATGTCATAATGATATTTCCCCCCATTTTAAATTCTCCAATGAAAGGTAAAATTTATGTAATTTTTTTAATTAAAAGATCAAAATGATTAATGCAGATTTATTTTCACAGCCTTCTTTGATCATATTTACCAAGGGTGCCAATAATTCTGACCACGACTGTATATACACGTGTTGTCATTTACAATACATGTCTATATAGTTTTTATTAATTTTTATTTCAGTTTTTGTTTTTGTTACTGAAGTACATTGGTTTAACCAAATAGATTTGCCTTGCCAATTAGCCGAAAGAAAATAGGTTTTAGATGGACGTTTTATTTTATTTCAAGTGTGTACCTGCTCATGGTAGCTGGTACGGTAAGCTGACTCCAGAGATTTCTCCAGGAAGTTCAGACTCAACTTGTTAATGGGCGGCTTGAAGAAGTAATCCTTCATCAGACTAAAACAAAGACAATATGGAGAAAACAAGGTGAAAATGAATGACTGAATTACAAAACTACTATTCAAACGAATCTTCTCTCACTCACCTTTCTTCCCTTATCACCTCCACAAAGTGCACGTCGCTTTTCTCCCGAAAGTATTTGGAGCGCAGTGGGAGGATGGCTGAGTGGTCCATGCCGCTGGCGCTGCCTCCTTCTGCGGCCAGACTTCCCACCCAGCTCCTGTCCTTCTCCTGGAGTTTGTCGCACAGAGACGACTGGCTGACTCCCACCCGCTCCTCACACAGAGGACTCAACAGACCATTCAGGGTTTTAGGGCTACGACCTGCAGGAAACTGCGCAAAAGAAACAGAATTCTCTCAAAAGAGTCTTTTGTTTGGGATTCAGACTACACTGAATCAGTTCAAAAGATTCATTTGTTCAGAAATTGGACAATACTGGTTGTGCTATAGAGTTTTCATTCTTAAAAAAAAAAAAAACTGGTTCTAATGCAGATCACTAAAAGATCTACTTCATTTAGGAATCGGACAACACTTGTTGTAACGTAGGTTTAGGATTTCAATTTCTCAAAAAGAACCAGTTCAAAACAGCCATTCATCCAGAAATAAGTTATAATGCCGATCACCAAAAAGAACTAGTTCAAAAGAGTCATTCGTATGGGAATCTGACTACACTGGCCACACTGTGTGATTTCGATTCACTAAACCAGTTCAAAAGTAGGGGTGTAAATCGGATGGTTCATCACAATACGATACGATATCGATTCTCATACCCAGCAATACGAAATTTGCCGATACCTCAAAAAAAAATTCCACGATACGATTATGATACAGGAGTATATCGATTGATTTATCGATATTATATTATATACCTATTTTTAAACAATCATCTACATTTTTATTACACAAATGCAACCAAAAAATATAACATGAACATTTATCTGGAATTTTCACACCCTGTATTTCAATTGGGACATTCACAACAAAAAAAAATAGGCCTACCTTTTTTTTATATATATATATATATATATAATAATAAAGAAAAATAAATAATTGGAAAAAAAAAATAAAAAATCAAGTCACACATAAGATCAGTACATGACAACAGTCAAGAATGTCTTTTAGGTCTCAGTGTGTGAAACAGTGTAAATCCTCATTAGGAAACCACTAAAACAAGGTACTCCAAAAATAAATTAATGCAGAAAAATAAATATTAGGAAAAGAATTACACAAATAAAGCTGTTAAAACTCTGAGACTTTTTTTGGCTGCTACTATGGGCTCAGTGCTAAAAATCCTTTCTACAGAAAACAAAATTACAAGCAATAGCGGAAAATAAATACAATAGAACAAAGACACAAATTCAATACACAGTGTCAGGTTTTTCAGCTCAGTCTAAAATAAATTTTCAGATACAAAAATGTAATAATCAAATATAAAATAACCGCATAGTCTTCACCAGGGCTGCCCAAACTCGGTCCTGGAGGGCCAGTGTCCTGCAGAGTTTAGCTACAACTTGCCTCAACACCTGCCTTTAAGTTTCTAGTATGCCTAGTAAGAGCTTGATTAGCTGGTTCAGGAGTGTTTAATTGGGGTTGGAGCTAAACTCTTCAGGACACCGGCCCTCCAGGACCGAGTTTGGGCAGCCCTGGTCTTCACCGTATAAATTAAATATAGATGAATCATTATTGATGTTACAAAGGATATTTAGTCAGGAGCAGTGAGCATTACTTGTATTTTTCTTTGACACCATTAGGTTTATTATTAGTTTGCTTTCACTTTAAGAACGAAAGCGCAGATCCAATATACTGATACACATCAGTTTTCTTTCTCAACTGTTTACATTAAGACATAGGCCTAACCGACTGTGTTTATTTGTTCATCCATGCACAAAAAAGCGGAAGAGAGTTCAATTTATTATTCGTGACCTGTCGACACGGCTGTCTGTGTGCGTGCGCTTCAAATGTGTGTCTGTGCACAGGAAACATTTCACACAGCACTAGACAGCTCCGTTAACTGTCCCGAGCGTCTTTCATGCTCGCCTTGTGCCTTCGGCCGTCCTTATATCGAGTCCCGATACGTGAGTTTGAACGAGAATGCATAGACGGACATTACGTGAAAATGTGAACAGTGCCAAAATAAAGGTGCCTACAGATATTGATATTTTACACGTGGCATCGATACATCATATCGTCAGACATTTGATCGATGTATCGATCCATATCAATGGATCGTTACACCCCTATTCAAAAGAATAATGCGTTTAGGAATTGGACTACCGTGGTCATGCTGTAGGTTCTTTTATTTATCAAAAATAACTGACAGCACTGTACATTCGATTCACTAAAAAGAGTCTGCTCAAAAGACTTATTCGTCGAGGAATCAGTTCTAATGCGGATTACTTAAAAGAACTGGCTCAAAAGAGTCATTTGTTTGGGAATCTGACTACACTGTCTAGACTGTACGTTTTTGATTCACTAGCAAGAACCGATTCAAAAGATTCATTTGTTCAGGAATCAGACTAAACTGGCTGCACTGTATGTTTTTGATTCGGCAAAAATAAATGTTCGAAAAGATTCAATGATTCAAAAGATTCACTTTTTCATGTACTGGACTACACTGGTTGTGCTGTAGGCTGTGTTTAATTCACCAAAAATAACCATTTGTCCAGTAAGACTTTTTTAGTCAAAAAAGTTGACTAATTAAAAGAACTTTAATTGAACAGTATTTAGTATGGCAAAGAGCAGCGTTTTGGCAAAGTCACATCAAGTCTGCCATCTCCTACTCTTTACTTAGGACTAAAGGTATATGAAAAACTTTAGCTGAAGTGTTGTACTCCCACTAATTACACCAACATTTCATAATATATTTAAACAAATAGCCACTAATGACAACATTTCAGTATCTGCTGAAATTGAGTACACTGGGTTCTTGTGTTAAGGTGTGTGCTTCTATTGTGCAATTACTGAGGCTTCTTTAGTCGGTGTTCATCATTGTTAGTTTTGTACCTTGCAGCTGTTGGCTCGGTGTTCATCCTGGCAGCCATTTCGAGTTGCTTCATCTGCTATCGGATTGTCAGTGACATCTACGGAGATGCTACAGGATGTGCACACAGGCTGCGGAGAGAAAGATGAAAAACGCACTGAAAAGGGTGAGTAAATAACTGACAGAATTGTAATTTTTAATTTAAAACATGTGTAACAAACACAGCATTTGTGTGTGTGTGTGGAGGGCCGTACCTTGCCGTGTGAGAGCGGTTCAGCGACGGCGCAGTGTGTGAGATCTGGAGTGTGTGTGTTTGAGGACAGACTCAAACTGAGCTGGGAACAGCCACACTGAGAGCCCATCTTCCGTCCCGAGATCAGATACGTCTTTAAACCTATACAAACAAAAGACACGCATACAAAAGGTATTGAAATCATTCAGGTCTTTTTCATGCTGCTATTTCCCAGCAGTCCTTAGAAAGCTTTTCTACAAATATATAGCTATTTGTTTACATATTACATACGTTGAACATTTGTTTTTTACTGTTAAAAATGATAGCTGTGGCAAAAAAGTATTTTAGTCATTTCCGATCAGTCGTTTAGAAAGGAAAATGAAAAAGAAACATCAAATTTGGTATTTTTTTGTGTTGTTGTTCAACTGAAAGTAAAAACTTTAACAGGTATAAAATGTTTTTTTTTTTGTTCATTTTATTTTGTTGGAGTTTATGGGGGAAAAAACTGAATTATATAATTGGGCATTATTGTTCAAAGGTCAAATTTTTTCCTTCTTTCTTTTTGTTGTTCAACTGAAGGTAAAAACTTTAACAGGCATCCAATTAATTAATTAGGCCCCTAATTAATTAATTAATCCATTTCATTTTGCTTGAGTTCATGGAAAAAATAGATATAATTTTTCTGTGGGTGCCAATTCCAAAAATCCTGAGCATGTTTTTTATTTATTTATTTTTACGTTATTGTTCAAATGTTTGGGGTCGGGAAGATTTTTCATGTTTTTGAAAACCAAGGCTACATTTCTTTGATAAATAATACAATAAAACAGTAATATTGTGAAATATTATTACCATTTAAAACAACCGTTTTCTATTTTAATGTATTTTAAACTGTAATATGCTCCTGTGATGCAAAGCTGAATTTTCAGCATCATTACTCCAGTCTTCAGTGTCACATGATCCTTCAGAAATCATTCTAATATGCAAAGTTATGAATTTCTTATTATCAACATTGATTCAACAATTGTACTGCTTAATATTTTTGTGGAAACGACAAACCTTTTTTTAAATTCAGGATTCTTTGATGAATAGAATTTTAAACATTTGAATTAGAAATCTTTTAAAATAGTATAGGTGTTTTTAAGACACTTTTGATAAGTGTAATGTATGGAAGCCTGTTTCCACCACTGAAAAAAAAAAAAAAAAAAAAAGGTAATTGTGACTTCTCGCAATTCTGACTTTTTTTCTCAGAACTGTGAAATATAAACTCACAATTCTGACTTTTTTTCTTGCAATTGCGAATTTGTATCTTACAATTCTGAGAAAAAAGACAGAATTGTGGGATGTGGACTTAAACTTGAAAAATGGTGTGTTCTGCAGTTGACAAAATACCTTCTGATGATTATTTATGTTTATTTCGTGCTTTAAGTGAATATGAAAGACGATCGGTTCACGTGTTTGAACTGAGGCAATAGTGATCTGTCACGACACATTAAAGAGCCACAAAACGGTATTTATTGTTTGAATTTCTTTAAAACTGACAAAATCTGAAAGCCGAGAGTCCTGAGACCTTGTTTCATAGCAGAAGTAACCTGCTCTGTATTGTCTGTCGGTGTGTTGTCAGTTTCCTCTTTGCTCTGCGATGTATTTTTCACTGCGTGAGAACATGATGTGTGTAAGTGTGAGAGCGCTATTGTTTGTCGGGGATAGCTACAGTAACTGAGGAGGGCGGGTCAATTGTGAGAAGAAAAAAAAAGTCAGAAGTGTGAGATAAAATTACCTTTTTTTTTATTTTTTTTTATTCACTAAAACGGGTTTCTATAGTAATGTATACTTGCTAAATAAAAATTTTATTTCTTTAAAAATAGAATTAAAATCTGAAGCAACAACCATCAGGATGAATAAGAAATCTGCCATTGACTTGCATAGTTTGAACATTCAGGTTAAAAAATTCTCTAACATGATCTCATTAAAATATGTAACTAGTGCATTGCAATTGTTCGGCATAAAGCATGCAGCTTTAAGCTACACAATTAATGATTTATAACTGTAAAGTGAACTGTAATTGGAGAATCTTGTTTCCGCAAATCTACTTTCCCTGTGAGGGCAAACAAGGTCTGATCCAGCACTGATACTACACAGACACACAACAAGAGCTTGAAAGCACCTGAGCAGGTTCGTTTCAGCACTGATGTTTACATTAAACAACACTTAAGCACGAGGATGAGTGCTTCTGTTGTACCAACACACACACACACACTTTTGAGTGTCCGGTGGAGAGGCTCTGTTGTACCAATAGAGGCTAAAACAAACAGAAAGCGATTACAGCAGGCCAGTATCAGCCTGTTCAAACATACGACTCACAAGCTAACCGTGTTACGCTCATATGTAATAATCTCCTCAAACACACTCAGGCTAAGTGTGAGCGCTAACACTGCTGTGGGAAAATGCCTGTGCATATTTGTACATAAACTACATTGTATAGCCTGCGGGAACACTTTCTCAAAGGCTCCGGCGAGTTCCTTGACGGCTTCTGTGAGATGCGTCTGAGAATAAACAGAGCCGTACTCTCAGTCGTAACTCACCGGAGTAACAAACCCTCACAAAGATCAGCTCTGCTGTTTCTCTCACACACAAACACAATGTAGCACAACTGTGTGATACTCATGCAGTTATTTGATATGTTCACATTATTGTGATAACCGTTATTGTGCACTTTAAACGCGTCACATGCTGCAAGCCAAAAAAAGTAAATTAGGTGAATATATTTTAAATATTAACAACATTTACAAATAAGCAAATGTCAATGTTGATAACAGTGTTATTATTATTATTGAGGAGAAGAGGAAGAGAAGGAAAACATTTAAAAATTATATTTTACATTTTATACTATTGTTATTACTACTAATAATCATATTAATAACAAATATATAATATAATAAATAAATTCTAATATAAATAATATACAAATAAAACCATGTTAAACAAAATTGTATTACATGTTATATTATTAATTATCACTACTACTACTAATAATAATATAATTTTAACATTTTACAATATTACTATTGTTCTTATCACTATTGTTTTCGTCACCGTTATTATCAATACTAATAATTTAACATTTAAAAAAAATATTTTTTAAATCATTTATATTAACATACATACACACACAACAAAATTATAAACAACACTTGTTTTTGCACCCATTTTTCATGAGCTGAACTCAAAGATCTAAGACTTTTTCTATGTACACAAAAGGCCTATTTCTCTCAAATATTGTTCACAAATCTGTCTAAATCTGTGTTAGTGAGCACTTCTCCTTTGCCGAGATAATCCATCCACCTCACAGGTGTGGCATATCAAGATGCTGATTAGACAGCATTATTATTATAAAAAAAGGTACTAAAATAAAAAATTATTGTTCATTATTATTATTAATGATATTAAGAGCTATATTAATAATAAATAACAAACAATATTGTTATGATCATTATCGTTATTATTATTGGTACTAAAATAAAAATGTTCTTATTAATGCTTCTTATTTTTTTATAATATATATATATATATAAAATGTTATTTAATATTAACACTAATATTATTTCTGTAATAATGACCGCAAATATTATTAGTAAAAAACAAGAAACAAAAAAAAGTGTCAACTTAAAAGGAAGAAAAAATACATCCTAATGTAATTATTTTTAACTAGATGCTAATGTTTGGTGTGCAAATTCAAACAGTACATTAACAAAGGAGTCTGTGGTATTAAGATGCGACTTCAGGATGTGGCGATTTTTCCCTCTCGAAATGATGTACGTACTTTCCCATCACCAGCACATACTTTCAGTGCAGAGCGCGAGTATGCAAACTGATATTGAGCCACTGTTTCATGCTCAGCCACAATGAACCACAAACACAGGGCCACTTCAGAACAAGCTCAGAGCCAAAGTACATACAGATCCGTACACATAAATTTGACAGTCGTCCAAACACAATAAGACCGTGGAGGCCACATCAATGAGCCATTCACGAACGTCAAGTCCCTTTTTTGCCTCTTTGTGCCTAGAGACACAGATTAATAAAGACCTGAGCCACAGAGCTAATAAGCTTCTGGGTCAGAACCTGTCTGAGCTGGATGGCCATGTGGACCTGCTCCTCCAAAGAGATCCGGACTCAAGGAAGTCATAAATAGTCCTTTGACCTCTTAAACATGGGAACTGAAAGCAATCTGGGATCAGGGGACATTCTTGCAGTACACACAACCCCGGAGGCACAGTCGTCTTACAGGGAACTGCTATAAAGTAATTCAACATAGCTGGGAATCCCAGCCTGGGATTTAACCATCAGGATCCCCGGACTAGAATTTCCATTCAAGCGCATTAGCATACGTAACCACAAAGAAACTGATTCGTGCAAACATTCGAGAAGGTGCGTCTATAGTTTATCCTACAAAGGTCTTGTAAAAACACAATGAACTTTTATCATAATAGAAGTCATTTCATATAGAAATCAAGATACAGTACACAATGTAGTACATTTAATTTTGAAAATCAGTGGGAGGGTGAGAACCTAGCAACCTATTTTTTTGTGCATGAAACACTGACTAACATTAGTGGCATTCAAAGGGAAAAGCAAGCGGAAGGTGCTTTGCTCTGATGCCATTTCCTCTCTTGCTGTATCTATTGATTTGCCACTGACAACACATTTACATTTACATTTAGTCATTTAGCAGACGCTTTTATCCAAAGCGACTTACAATTGGGGGATACATAAAGCGATTCTTCTTAAAGAGGCAAACAGACACATGAAGTGGTTGTAATACCAAGTTCTTAGACATTGTTCAAATAAGTACAAGCTAGAAAGAGAAGGAATAAATAAAGAGAATTTTTTTTTTTAATGATGAAGTCAATTAGCTTCGAAAGAGATGAGTTTTCAGCTGTCGCTTGAAAATTGTCAGGGATTCAGCATTCCGGATAGGGGTGGGAAGATCGTTCCACCAGCCAGGAATGGTGAACGAGAATGTTCTGGAAAGTGATTTTGAGCCTCTCTGTGATGGTACCACGAGGCGTCGCTCACTAGCGGATCTCAGACTTCTGAAGGGGATGTAAATTCGTAGTAGTGAGTGGAAGTAGGCGGGTGCTGAGCCTGTGGCTGTTCTATATGCAAGCATCAATGTCTTGAACTTGATTCGGGCCGCAACCGGTAGCCAGTGCAAGGAGATGAAGAGAGGTGTAACATGGGCTCTTTTGGGCTTGTTGAAGACCAGTCGTGCCGCTGCATTCTGAATCATTTGTAGAGGTTTGATTGTGCTTGATGGGAGTCCAGCCAGAAGAGCATTGCAGTAGTCCAGCCTAGAGATGACAAGGGCCTGGACAAGAAGTTGTGCAGCATGCTCCGTTAGAAAGGGCCTGATCTTTCTGATGTTGTGCAATGCAAACCTGCAAGATCGAGCGGTCTTTGCAATGTGGTCTTTGAAGGTCAGCTGGTTATCAAAAGTTACACCAAGATTTCTGACCGAAGTTGATGGGGTAATTGTAGAAGAACCTAGCTGGATGGAAAAATCATACTGTAGAGTTGGAGTGGCAGAGAAGACAAGAAGCTCAGTCTTTGCCAGGTTGAGTTTACTGTAACTCACAGTAAACCATTTTGGGTTTACTGTGAGTTCAGTTGGAAACCTTGTGAAGTAGCATCACAAGTGACATAAGTATCATAAGACCACATACAAAGCAAGTGTGAGTGTAATACCAAGCATAAATTTAAAAGATAAATGCA